GTGGGGTCGGTCAGGAGAACGATAAAGCGCCTAGAAATTCATAGATTCGACCCCGCTGGTGGAAAGCAAAAGACCCAACGGGCGGTTTGGCCCTGTGGGCGGAAGGTATTAGGAAAAGTAAGGGCTGAACCAGCCTGGATGACTCTGAATAGGCCGTCCATCAGACAGAATCGATCCTAAATCCGGTGACCATTTTATTAAATTGGGAGGGGGAGGGAAATATAACAAGATAGAGAAGATAGTGGTGTTGAACATGTACCAAAAAACAGCGTGTCATGTGAAAAGGAAATGCTAAGTGATGTATGTGGAAAACAACTTGCCTGTGTTTCATTCCTAAGCTGTAAACACAGACAGCAGGAGACGTGATTATGGGCGGGAATCATCAGTACAGCCCCCTAACCACCTTGTTTGAATGAAAATAGCGTGGACGCGTGATGAGATAGGATAAAAAATCATGCAAAAAAAGAAAAGGGAAGAAAAAATCAAAACTAACATGGATCCCGCTGGTGGGAAGTAGTTTTCCGTTTTCTTCGCCTCTTTTTTTTGCGGTAGATTAGTAGTGAAGCAAATCAAAGAGTACAGTTGCTGTTAGCTTGCTTATAAGCAACTTTTTGAAGAGGAATTCGTCAAAAGCCATGCCAAAGGACAGTTGTTGCTAATGTGTTTTTACTTCTAAGTGCACCTATTGCTCGCCCAAACCGGAAATTGGGCTTGGTTTTTGATTCTGCAGTTTCAGAGAAGTTTCCAAAGAAAGTTTCAGAGAAGTTTTCAAAGTTTCCAAAGAAATCCTGCAAATTTATTGAGTGAAAATTGGCATTTTGTCGTTCACATTAAACTTTTTAATGGCTTTTAGGTGTTGGAAGATTCTGATCTACAGAAGCGTGATGTGGACGAAATCGTGCTTGTTGGAGGATCTACGCGTATCCCGAAAGTTCAGCAGCTTCTTAAAGAATTCTTCAATGGAAAGGTGTGACCAGAGTTATTTATAGACAGGGGGGGGGGCAGAAAATAGTCTTTTTGAGGGGTTTTTGATGTTTTTGGGGACAGGAGATGGGTGTTATTTGGAGACACACAGCTCGGGATCGAAAGACCTGGAATAGCTGAGCTCGGTGTGGACAAAAATCGGATTTTAACATGGATTGTTCGGGCAGCCCTATGTGCCTTATGTGCTTTTAAATACAGGAACCATCTCGTGGAATCAATCCGGATGAAGCGGTGGCATATGGTGCAGCTGTACAGGCGGGCGTACTTTCGGGTGAGGAAAGTACCGGTGATATTGTGTTGTTGGATGTGAACCCGCTGACGCTTGGTATCGAAACTGTTGGTGGTGTGATGACGAAGCTGATTCAACGGAACACGGTCATCCCAACCAAGAAGAGTCAGATCTTCTCGACGGCTGCGGACAATCAACCAGTTGTCACAATCCAGGTTCGTTTTCGCATTCACTAAGACCATTTTGGAAGTCAAATAAACTGTAAATAAGCAGTATAATATCACAGAAATAATATTAGTAAAAAAATTCCCTTGTTGCCGAAGCCAAATTTAAAACGCTCAAGTTATGGCACGGAAAGTGTTTTAGGAATTTTAAAAATGCAAATAAACTTTTAAATGGAATATCTCTGGCTAGGAGACTGGAAGAGGACAGGAACCTAAAATCTTCTAGGTGTTAACATATGCAGTTTGTTTGGCGATGTAGAAAAAATTTTTTTCTAATCGGATAGTTCCTTGGTTTCGTAGCACTTATGAAATGGCTTATTTCAGGTATATGAAGGAGAACGACCAATGACCAAAGACAATCACATTTTGGGCAAATTTGATTTGACCGGCATCCCACCAGCACCTCGTGGTGTACCACAGATTGAGGTCACATTCGAAATCGATGTCAATGGCATTTTGCATGTTACGGCTGAAGATAAGGGCACTGGCAATAAGAATAAGATAACAATCACAAATGATCATAACCGGTTGTCTCCGGAAGATATCGAAAGGATGATTAACGATGCCGAGAAGTTCGCCGATGATGACAAGAAGGTTCAATTTTTTTTTTTGATTTTTAATAAGTTTTATGTCTTTTTAATGAGAAATCAGGGCTGGTACCGTTTG